GAGAGACATGTGAAGAAGTGGCTCTTGTTTTTTGGTCCTGGACTGGGTGAAACAGATGGGGGTGAGAGACCCATGGGGAGGTTCACTATGGAAGTGTTTATCTTGATTTTGCTCTTTTCCTCCCAGACTTATCTGGCCACTTATGCGTCCCTTAGATTTATGCTTTAGCTTTGTGGCGGGCTTTCAGGCTTTGCTTTGGGCCAATCCCTTTTGGGAAGACTTTTACTCACGAGGAGATGGGTAACATCAGGTGTTTGATTTAGAACTATATTCTTTGTCTTTTCTGTATTGCACACTGTTGTATTAAAGTTCCTTTCCATTAAGGTCTTATATGATTTGACTTAATGCAGTGGATGACAATGCCTATTTAAAGGGGGCAGGTTTGGGAGTTCTGGGGTGCCCCTCTCCCTACCCTGTAACAGTTAGGATTCAGGCATCAATACTATATGATCTTCTCTGGTGAGCCAGCAAACATATCAGATTCACAAGAAAAAATATCCAAGGGAGGGTAGCCTGAACTAATCCTGTCCCTACTTTCCCTCTCCCACACCACACCTCCCATTATCATTTTTTCTTTTGTACTGAATTTCTGATGTTCCTCACACTCCTCTGTTCTTGGAAGCCACTTTCTTTTGTATCTCTATAGGTCTGTATCCCAGGGGCCAGATTGCAGAAACTGACCTCCACTCCCAGAGACCAAGCTAGACGCCCAGGTGAGTGAGTGTCCACCTGGGGTCTCTGAGCTGCTTCTGATGAGGGTGGAGAAGAAGGTGGAGGAGGGGAGAGGCCAGTGCTGAGGCAGCTTGGGCCAGGCAGAGCCAGGATGGGTAGAGCTGGCAGCTGAAAGGGGGCCCCATGGGGCTGGAGAAGGTGCAGCCTGAGATTCAGATAAGAAAGCATCCCTTGAGCGAGAGGACAGCAGGGCCTGTCAGCCTGGTCCTCAGTGTCAGGGCAGCACAGGGTGTATGTGAAAGGATCATTTAATTAGGTGGTTGAGCGTTACACACATTTTACATTAAAAAAAATCTATGGTAGTCACAGACAGGACAGCCTGGTGTGGGTCATTTTGGTATTACCCACAGAGGGAAACATGGAATTTCTCTAGCCAGCAAGAGTAAAACACTCTTGAGGACATATAGTGTCTGAAGACTTTGCAGGTATCACAGGAAGAGGTGACTTTTTGCTGACCTAGGGGAACCTGTAATGGGGACCCCAGGGGTGGGAGTGGGGTCCTTTCCTAAGGGGTGGCTTTTCCTTCCCTCTCCTTTCCCAGGTCAGGACCACAGGGAAGCGAGGCCACCATGGCTCTGAAGGCCCTCGTCCTGTTCTCCCTGCTGGCCTTGGGGCTGCTGGTGATCGTGGGGGCCTGGCCTTCCCCACTCCAGATTTTCTGGCAGGAGCACATGGCCCCCAGACAGCATCTTTGGCCTCACTGCTGCAACCAGATGATGCAGAATGGGGGTATTTTAGGCAAGAACATAACACCACCCCCAGTGGCTGTCCAGGCCTTCGGCCCTGAGACAAAATACCGCTGCAAAGATAAGCAGAAGAAAACTGCCACAACAGCAGAAACCCAAACAGCATCACAGAGTGTAATTGGTAAGCAAGGGCCCTAACCTGGTCTGCCACCAGCAACAACGTGAAATACATCACCATTGCTATATGGGAAACCCACCTGAGCCTCTGTAGGTTAGTGGCTCCCTGTAGGTCTCCAGCTGAGCAGGAGAGACAGGCACTCCCTCCTGCGTGTATCGCCACCCTAGTCCCAGCTCTCCTAGATTTTCCCTTCCACCCCAACAGGAATAACTCAGGTTGGGGCCTCCGGGCTATCCCACAGAGACATCCCTGAGACCTTCTCCACATGAGTTTGGGGGGTGAGAGATGGCTTGTGTATCCCTATGATAACCTCCTCACTGCTTCTTTCAATAAAACGCACTTGCAACCTGAAGCTGCCTCATCCGGGGATGTCTGTGTGATGCTTCTCTGTGGGGCTGACACCTGGGATCTGGGCGCCCTGTGAGCAGCACGGGGAGGAATCAGGTGCCTGCTCCTCAGACTGAGCCCCCAGGGACCTCAGAGAATCCTTGCCAGTGATTCTTTGAAGGCAGGAGGAAATATTAAGTGTGGGCTGTTTAGATAGAAGGGAGCTTGGGACTGTGGGTGCCCAGGTTGGGGGTGGGGTTAGCGACATACATCTAGAGAGGGGCGACCATATGCCCAGCAGCAGTGTGGTGTTGGAAACCAATGTCATCGTGACAACAACCAGAATAAATAATTCAATTTTAAAAAATGGAGCTACAATCTGGAACACTGTCCCACCGGGTGACCTGGCACAGGGAGAGGCTCAAGTACAAAATTCCTTGACCAGAAAGAACAGCAAGACCTCAGGGGACCCTGCTCAGCCTCAGGGTATAGAGGAGGAGTCTGTAAAGTTATGACTTAAATGTTTACTTTCTTTTTTTCTTTGAGTGAGCTGGTTCTAAATCAGAAAAAAAGGAACCTCTCTGTTGAAAGTCAGACATCATCTCCAGGCATGAGAGGGGCTGTGGGGCCATCAGAGGGGGGAGCTGGGTTCCAGCTTGTGCACCTGCCCCCACTGGCAGCCCCTGCCCACAGGCCCCAGATAAACGTCTCAGGAGGGAGGTGCTTGAACAGCCGCCTCTGGGGAGGGTGCCTGGGTGGGGAGGTGCCTGTGACGTCCCTGACACCCCTGGTCTGCTGTCACCCCTGCCTGACACAGGAGCCTCTCAAGTCTCAGATGGACTCCTGGCTCCCAGCACTGCCCCTCCTGCTGCTGGGCCTCAGAAGCAAACTCCCATGGCTCCCCCTTCCCTGGCTGTGAGTCTGGGCTGCTCCCTGAGTCCCCGCGCCTCTTCCCCGTGCTCCCAGCTTATGGGCTGTGCTCACTGCTCCCTCCTGGCAGCCCTTCTCCAGGCACTGGGTGACCCACTCAGCTGTCATCACGTCATCATTTCCCTGAGCCTGTGTGCAGTGGCCCCTGGCTTGAGACAGGGGCCCAAGAATAGAGAAAGGCTCCACTTCATCTGCCTGGGACAGTCTGTCTTTGTCTTTATCACAGGTAAATATTGTGACTGTATTTTAGTTCAGTGAATCCGTAGGCCTGGGGCCTCTGTGTGAGAAGAAGGCCTGCAGGTGAGAGGGCTGTGGGGTCCCTCAATGTGAAAATGGGGATCTCAACCTTAGTTAAGATGGGGGTTGATGGTGTGTGTGTGGGGGGGCAAACCTCAAATGTTACATGTATTTCCTTTGGCCAGAGTTATTCTGGCCACACTTCTTCCCAAATCCCAAACTCCCAATTTCCCTCCTGCTGAGGGGACACTGTGAGGGGACTGTGAACAGGTTCAGGGGAGTCATCTGCATATAGGTGTCACTTCACCTGCTCTGCCTCTGGTCCTCACCTCGGGATCCCTGGGGGCCACCATGTGGGAATCCATTGGTGAGGGGACTCCAGTCCTGTACAGCCCTGCACCCCAGAAAGCCTGTGGGGCTGGGCCAAGCTCTGACTAGGAGACCCTGACCCAGTGGGGGCAGAAGCCTCAGTCCTGGACACCTTGGAGGTCTCTCTTCATAGGGCCTCTCCTGCTCTCCCACACAGCAGGTTTGCTGACCCCTTCAGGGACAAATCTTGAAGTTGATGCTAGTTTGACACTAGCTCGTTCATATTCACTGAGTTTTCTAAAACAGTAAAATGCTCAAAGATTTTTTAAACCAAGGAATCTTTAGGATTCTGCATTCCCAGCTGGTAGGTAAACTCACCTCTGCATCTAAGATACTCGCAATCCTGAGACCTAAGTGTGTCCACCTCCTTCTGCCTTCAGACCTGCTGATCCTTGACCCCTGCTGCATCTCTATGGTAAGTTCTCCAGTCTGTTCCAGAAGTCACTGGGCCTCGTCCCAACTCTACCCACCTCTAAACAGAGCAGTCACCGCCATACAGGGTCCTTTCCTGAAGAGGGTGAATGATCAAGCTCTTCTCTTTCAGATGCTGCTTCTTCAATCTTTGTACTTTGAGTTTTTCCTGAAAATGTGGAGGGAAAACAAAGCCCGTTCCCTCCCCCTTTGCTAGAGTCAGACCTCACAGAGCTCATGTCCTGACACTTTACTGCAGTCATTTATTATTTTGCGCGAGTGTGTGTGAGTGCGTGAATGTGCCATCATTAGTATGTTCTGTCTCTGTTATCATGTCATCTGCAGATAATTAGAGTTGTATTTCTTTTTTCCAGTTTGGTTCCTTTTGTGTCTTTTTCTAGCCTAATGGCTCTGATGAGGGCTTCTAGTACTTGCGGACCTACTGGCGAGAGAGGGCATCCTTGTCTGCGTCCTGATCCTAGGGTGAAGTTTGTCAGTGTTCCCTTGAGTATAGTGTTAGTTATGGGTTCATCATGTATATTATTTCTAAGTCAAGTATCTGCTCCAAAATCCATTATTTGTGCAACATTTCATCATTAAGACAAGAATGTTTTTAGATGTTTAGTGATTTTTTTCCCTTGATATGCTTACTCTCTCGCATTGTAATAAATAATGAGGAATTGGCACCAAGTCTAGGGTTAATTAATCCCTCTACTACTGTGAATATATTACATTTCAAACCTCATCTGATGAAATACAGAAGCACACAGAAAAGAGCAGGAATACTTCAAGCACCACATTAGAATCTATGTTTGAAAATACTGTTGATGCTGAAGAAAGATAAGTGCCCTCTCCAAATAAACATAAACAATGGTTTCAGAGGAAATATGGAAGGCTGTGTGTGAGTAGAGTTTGAGGGATAGAGGACTTTCTTGTTCCAAAGTGTGGAGGACACAGGGGTTACGCAGATTCACCAATGGGGGAGCTAAATAACCTCAAAGCTAATCTAATCAAAGTCGTCTCTGTGGAATACTGGCAAATGCAGGCCTAAACCACTCTCCACCAGCAACAATGATGTGAAAGGGATCTCACACACACTCATCCTCACACTCTCAGAATGCAGTGGAGACTGTTTATTGCTGTGAATACAGTGTGTGACAAGGCTCAGCACAAGTTCCCAGGTTAAAATGGAGGCCTCGATCTTTCTCCAACCTCTCTCTACTGCCTTCCTTCACAGCACACAGAGCTCAAAGCAGAACAGAATTCTTTCTTTTTGCCTCCACTCTAGGCTATCTAAGACATTCCAATAACCCTCAATATTTTCCTTATTTCTTCTGTGGGAACCAAGGAAGTCAAACAAAGAAAACCCAGGAGAGAGAACCTGTGCCAGGTGTGAGGAAAAGTCAAACAACCTTATCTAAGTGTACAGGAACCAACTGGTAGGGAGGGTCACTCTTCTGAGGACGGTTACAGGCAATGATGAAGAATTTGTGTTGGGCGACTTCTCTATAGTTGCAGTTAGGATACTTCCCCTGGGTGAGGCTGCATTGAGTCATGTTGACAGGTTTTGGACTCTGGTGGCAGTTTTTCTGGCCATTCTTGCAGGTAATGTTGGGCAAATCACATGTTGCAGCCACATTCTGGAAGGAGTCATGCAGAAAGGTGTTTTCAGGCTTGCAGTGCTGGGTGTAGTTATTGACACCACTCATTGCCTTGGTGCATTGGAGAGGGCTTGGCTGTATATGCTGAATTTCAAACCAGTGAGCCCTGGTGAGATAGTTAGGCCAAGCACAAAGTGGGAGCACCGGCCCCCACAATCCCAGCAGAGCCAGGAAGAGAGGAAAGCATCTCAGAAGATCTAGTGCCATTTTTCTGTGTAGGGAAAGGAAAGACAACAGTAGTCATGGGAGCAGTAACAGGGCAATTATTGATCACAGTATTTAGATTTTTCAGGATTCATAGTTTGTTACACACATGTGCACGCGCACGCGCGCGCACACACACACACACACACACACACACACACACACACATACTTCTGGGCTCTGCCTGGTGGCGCAACGGGTTAAAGCACAGCACTGTGAAGCTATTGCAGCCACTGTAGCATGAGTTCGAACCCCACCCAGGGAGCTGACCCACATGGCAAAGCAGACCTCTCCTGTCTCGCCTGCTGCTCCCCTCAGCAGTGTGCTTCATCAGTCTGCCTGTTCTGCTCCCCACTCTCTCTCTCTCTGGTGAATCCTCTTTACCCCTCGCACCTCTGGCCTGTACCCCAGTTCTGTATGCATACATAAATAATCTTTAAAACACACATATGGATACTTCTTATTTCTCATTAAGTGTCACAATTCTATGAAAACCTTACGCTCAGTGAGGAGAAGTATGAGGTAAGGAGAACTTTCCTCCGATTGGCAGACCCCAGTCTTCTTTTTGCCCTATACTCACGCTCTGGTACCCCCCCATGCCAGAAACCTTGTCTCTGCCTCCCGAAATGTTTACCCTCTGCTCATTTGAGCTGAACTCCCAGGCCTTTCTGTGGCCCTGCCCTCTGCGGCCCCACCATGGCGCCTCTTACCAGGTCTCCACGCCAGATGCCTGCTGAATGGAGCTGTAGTTAATCCCAGGCTCAGAGGTGCTGCCTGTTGTTCTTCTCCGTGGAGGGCCAGAGCTGCCTCTGCGTGTGTGTGACTATGCTGGGTGCCGGGGAGGTTCTCTTAGGAAACAGAAACCTACAGCTTGGCAAAAGAACTTCTTGTGCAAAGTGTGCAGAGCCTCTTTGACTTGCTCCTTAAAGAATATCGATATCACTGTATACACAGGAAAAGAGGCTTACTTAAAACATCATGACTCAAAACTCACCGTTTTGAGGAACTAGTCACTTCCTAATACAGAGTGCAGTGTTTGCTTCCGGATCAGAACTTTCAGTTTTTGGAAGTGATTTCATTTCTTTAGGAGAAAATACACCATGTAAATCTGATATAATAGTTGCCACATATTTGTTGGGTTATAAGTTCCAACAACAGACTTGAATGAATTATTCTTTTATGCATATGCTTGCTGGGTTAGCTATTGGGCAACTGAGATTTAAAAGTGCATCATCTGGGCCCTCCCTGGTGGCGCA